TAATCAAGGAGAGGTTTTGCCTCTGAAATGCTGGATCTGTACAAAAGCAAAGCACTGAAGGGCTGTCGAAGGAAGGGGACCAGGACACCAGTGGGTTCATCACAGGCCCCTCAGGTCCGGTCCGGTCCCGGTCCCTCAGGTCCTTCTGGTCCAGTTTATTGAAGAAAGTATCAAACACTTATACAGCAAATAATAAGCTTATGAATATTCTGTAAGCCAAGCAATCTATAGGTTAAACTATACCATGAACTCATTCCTTAGGGGTTACATCTCTCTTTTTTCATGTCTCTTTCACTGTTCGTTATCCTACTCTAGCTAGGCCCAAGGACATGCTATCTTACAGGTACAGGACTTGGAATTAGCCACGGTTTTGTACTTTTCCAGTCCTTAGCAGCTAAATTCCCAAGAAAGGGGTTATTAAACAGCAAAAACAGCAAGAAATGAAAGGAATTTAAAACGACAGCGTGGCTGGAGCATCCTGAAGGTGACAGGCCCAGCTGTGCCCCGGGGGCTGTGGGGTTTGGGGTGGCTTTTGCTGCAGGATGTGTGACCACAGGGAGCGTGTCAGCACCCGTGTGGCGCCAGGCAGCAGCAGCGCCTCCCTCGCAGCTTTCCACAGGCTGCTGGCACTGCTGCTGTTGGTGTGTGGGGCAGCCAGGGCTGCTGTGGCTGCGGCAGCTGGGCCGCAGCTCCCGCTTAACTCCTGCAGCTCTCCCGCTTCCCCTTCTGACGGGGTTTCTGCTGTTGGGATGGCCCCGAGGTGTTAAAAAGTCTCTTTTTTCCCAAAAGAACACAGGATTCCTTGCGTCTCATTCTAAAGTTGTTTTTTATTTTTTATCTATCCCATTCTTTCTCTGACCTGCTCAGATCTGTCCAGCACACTGACCACCCTCAGGACTGTGTTATCTTTTTATACTAAAAACTACCTGTACTTTATTTACAATAATTTTCCAATACCTGTCCCTTGTATTAGACAGTCTGTTTCTACTCTAAACCAACCCAGAAGTGTCACCATCACAGCAGAAGATGGAGGTCAAGAAGAAGAAGGAGAAGGACAGAACACACCCAGATCCCCCATCTTGCCTCCTGAACCCCCATTCTAAAAACCCCAAAATTCTACTTTTTCACCCTGTGATAAATTCACTGTCATTCTACTCAAACCCGTGTGGCTTGTAACTCTTCACACAATGTTGGGAATTGTTTCCAAGGGTTAAAATCAAAGGCACAGGTGTTTTTACTCCGTGCCAAGGTCTCTGAGCACCTTGCCAGGGTCTTGAGCCATCCAGGGCAGCCAGAGGAATGTCCTGGGTTCTGACATTTCCCTGGGGAATCAAAAATTTTCATGTATCTTTTTTCTAATCTGTTTTCATGCTGATGGCCTTGTCTTTTTCTTTGCTATGGATACACTCAAAAATCATCATTATTTCTTCTATTAACTCAGCTTTGCTTGCAAACCAGCTGTCAAGCTCCTCTGTACAGAACTCCTGGTGCTGATGGGGCTCTGAGGGGTTTTGAGCAGGATTTTGGTCAGCTGGTGAAGAGTCTGGGCAATTTTTGTTGCTGTTTTCATTCCCAAACTCTTCATGGTAGCTGGGTAATTTTCCCTTGTGGCTCTGCCAGCTTTGGAGGGCAGGGTGTGCTGCAGTCAGTCCTGAGCTTTCCAATTTTATTTTTATTTTTTATTAAATCAAGATCAGCTGTTCTGAAACCCTTTATCTAAAATTATCCATATTGCACAAATCCAACTGCTGGTGTCACGAGAAGGGTAATGAAACTCTGCCCTGGGTCACTTTTCCCATTTTCTCAATGTTTCTTGGAGCAGATATTGCTGTCCTTTCAAGTGCAGAATATTCCCTTTCCAATGGGAATTAAACTGCATTGCTTTTAGGAGGAAAGAAATCTGGTAAGAGTCTTGTACAATAATCAGGGCTTTGCACCACAGGTTTTACTCTTTTCTAGATAAATATTATTGTGAATAAATGGTGCCCAGAGCTGCAGAGAAGGAGATGCTGTCATTAATTCTCCACCTGGATCTGCTGCTGGAGCACCCCCAGCTTTCATCAGGGCTGAAATGCTGCCCTGAGAGACAAATTATTCCTTCCAATAAATGAAATACTGACCCAAATAAACCAAAGTTCCTCTCCTCTCCCCTGCTGCCCTTTGCACTGCTCATTTGCTGGGTGCTCCAGCTGAAAGAAGGTGGGGAAAGTTCAAAGATGAGAAAATGAAGCAGCTTTTAGGAGCTGTGGGACAGATATGGGAAGGATTCTCTAATGGTTTTGCACAGCATTTTGTTCCCTATGCAGATGCAGTTTGGCACACTGGGTGCTTGGAATCTTTGTTGTTGTTGTGGTTAAGACCCAAATGTTTGAGACAGGGCGGTGAAACCTCCTGTCAGACGCTGGAGCCATCGCCCTGCCCGCCTCAGGCTCTGATTTATGCACAAAATCCTGGACTCAAAGGGAGAAATTAAAGGCTGCACTTGGCACACTGCAGCTGGCATGTGCAGGGTGTGTTTGTTGGGGACAAAAGCTCATGGGAATGCAGGGAAATGGAACTGAGGGTGTGTTTTCTGTGTCCTCCTCGGCATCCCACCCTCCCCACAGCCTCATTTACAGATCCAGGGTTGGGGTGGAATCCTGCCCAGCTGTTCCTGCTTTGTGTCCCTGCAGGAAGGACCAGAACGTGCTGTCCCCAGTGAACTGCTGGAACCTGCTGCTCAACCAGGTGAAGAGGGAGAGCAGGGACCACACCACGCTCAGTGACATTTATCTCAACAACATCATCCCGCGCTTCGTGCAGGTCAGCGAGGACTCAGGGCGCCTCTTCAAGAAGGTAACGGAGTGCTCCAGCACACAACTTCCCTTTGGTTC